GCACAACGTTTTGTTGATATTGTGAGTGCACACAAATAAAACTAGAACCTTTACATGTATTACTCTTACCTTTATGAGCAAAAATTACGGCATATTTTAAGTTGTTTCCACTGTTAGAAAAATGCAAGAGATGGCGCTGGCGCCTCCATGTCCTGCAGAGCGCGCTTCCACTCTCTGCACAAACGATTGGATATGCGTCTAACAGCACACATTTATCTAGGTTAAACATTTAAACTAACATTGTGATATGCTTGAACTGTTTTATATCTATAGCTTTTATTTTAGGCAAGTCGTGATGATTTGAGAAGGCTAAATTGATCAAACACATAGGCTATGATCAATTCACTGTCTGCCGCTGGCCGTTACTTAAAAAAAAAAAAAAGAAAACTTACATTTAACGAACAGAAAATGCTCCAAATGTTTTTTTTCTAAATTTACTTTATAAAAAAACGAAACGAAATATAATAACTTTACAATTACATACAAAACTGAACTATTTTATAAACAGTAGTATAAGCTTTTTTGGGGAAAAGGGGAAAAAGACGGGCTAGGGCATATATTTGAGACCCGTGCAGGGCTCTAATCCACTTCATCCAATGCTGTTTTGTTCTCATCTGTGAGCATGCTCTTGATATATGTATTTATACATATATCAATATATGTATAATATATTATACATATATTATATGTATAACATGAAAGAAAGCCATTATAACATGTACATGAAAAATGTAGAATCATTGGACACAACTATGGGGCACCATTGTGCAGCAGCAAGCATCACAACAAATAAGGAACCTCAAGGTTGATCTAAGAAAATGTGTGCAAATGTATTCCATTCCTATATTTTGCCCCTATATTAAATCCGCCCCTGTGTGGTGTGACAGATCACTGTATAGATGCCTCAGTTCAAACGGCAGCGCAGAGCATGGGTGAGTGTGATCATCCCTTCCTCTTTACTACTAGTTTAAACGCGAAATAAACATGAACATCTCATGCCTCATGTAATCCGTAAATCAGCGTTTCAACCTTGGAAAGATGTCAATAAAACAGCTTGTAAACAAAACGTCACATAGCATTTCATTTACCTCAGGCATGTCATCAGTGTCCAGCTCGTTAGTTCGCTAGAGAAATGAAGTACAGATCATGAAATATTATACTATATACTCATTATATTTTACTTTACCTATTAGTGATGTCTTAATTATTTAATGTATGTTTAAATAAATCTGTTATGAAACAAGTTATGACAGCCACTGTGTAATTGATTATTTCTCGACATCAAATAAACATTTTATAATTTAAGAAGGGCTGTCATCGTTAACGCGTTAACGCATGCGATTAATTTTACAATCCTTAACGCGTTAAAACAATTTAACGCAATTAACGCAAAAATACTGAAGCACAATTTCTATTCTAACCCTTTAACCCAATTTTGCTACTCTGCTGGCGATTAGATCATTTTAAGCCGCTAAACTCCGGGAAAATTTTCAGTCCAATGATCCAGTAAGCGAATGCATTCAAACAATCCGTCCAAAACAGCGCTAATATAAAGGAAACCAGGCTGATTACATCAAAGATGGCAGAGAGAACAGAGACTCGCATTGCGTTTTAAGTGAAATATTCATTCCAGTGTGTTTCGCTTTAAAACAAGAGCTCTGTCATATTCTGTGATAGTCTCTGAAGAGCGCGAGCCCTCACACGTCACACGCGCTGTGTGAAGTACAGACTGAACGGATTGTCAACACATCCCACCGCTGTATGGCTTGCAGAAAATATAGATTTTTGAGAATCACCCTTCAATCTTTTGGTTTACATTGCTGGATATAGCAAATGATGACAAAATAAACATTTGAAACAAGATAAATGGTCTATGCTTAATTTCATGAAGTGTGCGATTAATTGCGATTAATCACGGAAAAAGGATGTGATTAATCAGACTAAAAATTTTAATCGATTGACAGCCCTAAATTTAAGTTAATTTAAAAACTGCATTATGTGCAATTTACATGTTTGCATTCATTTTTTTTTTTTTTGAGTGTTGATTATTATATAAAAATGAATAGTAATTGAATTTAAGTTTGGGCTCTGTTGTTAATGGTAACCTTATAGTATGTAAAAGGGCTCCCTAGTTTAGAGCAGAATCTTAAGATAGATTTTTATCCCTAAGAAAATTGTAATTGTAATTAAATTTATTTAAAGAAAGAGCAATTTGTTCAGAAAACCACTGTTTAATATAAAAAAAGCTATTTTATGTTCAGTTTTTCCACCTGCTATACCGAAACCATACCGAATCATGACGTCAAACCCGAGGTACGTACCGAACCATCATTTTTGTGTACCGTTACATCCCTAGTATTGATTTATTGTTAACAACAGTAATGCTTTAAATAAATAACTTAATGTTAGACACTACAAATATGACAGAATATAAACCATTACAGCACAACTGCTGTGGCCTAATGATTCGTCTTTTTAGAAAAACTGGAGAAATTGAGGAATGTACATACCATTATTGACAAGGACGTGTAGAGGCAAACCTTTGGCTCTATATCTCTGGACAAACAGCCGCACAGATGTCAGAGAAGCCAAATCCAGGTACATGAACTCCACTGAAAGCAAAAAGATTACAAAATCAGTACCTTCAGCACCTATAAGAACATATGCTGAAAATTCAACAATATAAAGCTTCAAAAATGTCAATTTACACTCCCTCAAGACATTCCACACCTATATGACTGTCTTTCTTCTGTGAAACATGAAAGAAGAGACATTTCTCAGAATATCTTCTTACGTTCCACAGAAGAAGGAAAGGTTTGGAACAACATGAGAGTGAGTAAAGGACAGAATTTTCATTTTTGGGTGAACTATCCCCTTAAAGTTTCTTCAAAACTTTCAAACAAGGCTTTGTCAAACCAACATTTAGAGTTTGTTTTCATAAATGTAGCTTTTCCTGTTCAAAAAGGACTTCCCTTTTTATGCTTTGTTACCTTCAATTCTACAGTCTCACATTAAAATCTGAATTGCACTTATGCATCCTGTTTGCAACCAATGCAAGATCAGGAACTGAATTAGAATTTTAAAAAGCATTCTCAATTCAATTCTGAATGGCACACAACCCTGGTAAGCACACATAATGAATTGCTCAAGGACGACTTCTTCGACTGAATTGCTTCGATCAGACGAACAAGTCTTTTCAGGATACAAATCCAAGAAAAGATCACAGCAATAAAGTATTCAATATAACAACAGAATTATTCCACAATAAAGATGACTTATACTGAATGCACAGTATATTTTCATATGCAGCTCATAATAGTCAAAGCATTTGCCCTCATCAAATAAAACAAGTAAACTCAGCTTGTCAGCTTGTTTTACAGGGCTTGGTTTTAAACAGTAGTTGCAGGCTAAATTTGTTGATTCATCCAGCGTTCTCATGCTGCAGTTCATTCTGTTGGTCTGTACATCAAAGCACATGTCCAATTAGTCTAATTTCAAATCATGGCAATTATTCCACTCACTAACGCTCACGTAAAGTCAAAAGGACATTTATCCCATCATTCCAAATGACCTGTCAGTGTTTCAATGATCATTTATTTTAAGATAAACATCTGAAATCAATAAAATCACCATAATTGCCCTAAAAATCTGCACCAAGATTACTTACAAAACTACCAACAAAACAATAATGTCTACCAGGCAGTGTATCTGAATTTGAATGTTACTGAATTGTAAATCAATACAGTTTTGACAATACAGCTCAATATACTGTACATCTTAAACTTCAATTGAAGTTAGGCCCATTTTATTTTTATGTTTATAATCTTCAAAAGTGTAAATTAACTATCAGTCTGTTGTGACTTTCTTTGATGTAACACTAATAAACGTTCTTTAAATGTGACACCTGCTCCATTTTTACTTAACAGGCCATATATGGAACTTGGTCTCTAACACCTTATCTGAATAATATGATGGGTCTTTATATCTCTATTTAATGGGGGTCACAATCCCAATCGTGGAAACAGAAGCTGGAGTTTTGCCCACTCATCCTTCCTGTTCTTGTTCTCCATCAACTTTAATTAGGCTTACCATTCATTTAGTCTGACGGGACTAACCTTCCAGCTAATAATGGCTCCCAAGTGAGAATTAGACCATTACACGCCTGCCGGGGTGGACAGTGAGAAATGTACACAGGAGGCCCTATAAAAGAGCAGTGATACTTCAAGGATGTCTCTTAAACTAAATGTTTAGCGGAATTGTTGATGAGCTTGTCAGAACACGTCCAAGTACGGGTAGAAATTTGAGACCACAAAGTCAGTGTTTTGTTTCTCATTATGTTCATAGGCAAAGTAAACCTATAAGCCCAAATCCAAGCTTTTAAAACTGCAGCATCTGCAAGTTGCTCTACTGTGAATCAGAATACCGTTGTGTTTACCTCAATGAGCCCTTTGGGCTTTCAGCTTATGGAAATGAGACACTACACTAAAATATTCCAGTTATATGCACATCATTGCATCAATCAGTTTTCATTGTCATGTTATGCAAATCCTGGTATTTTGTTCAGTTTTTCCCCTCCCTTCATAATGGTGAGGTGAGGCAAGGTCAATATGACAAAACATTCACCTTTACTATCCCATCAAAACAGGGTCACCTAGCGTTAGATATGTGGCCCATAGCTGTCTAGCAGACGTGTGCAAAAATAGTAAAATCTGTGGTGATGGTCTTAAAGTGACTGTTACCCCAATTAGCTCCTTATTAAACTCAAGATCATCTTTTTTTTAAGGTTTTCTGACCCTGAGACTCAACTATTTTCTGAAATTCTCCAGCTGTGGTCCTTGGGGAGTCTTTAGCCACTCAAACTCTCCTCCTCACTGTGCATTAGGACGATATAGACACACGTCCTCTTCC